AGGGCGGGCGCCCCAGCGCTCGGGGTGGGGCTTGCGCGCTCACGTGACTCCGAGGGGCTGGAAGAAAAACAGATCCTGTCTGCGCCGGAGTCTCATTATATTCAAATATTCATTTTAGGAGCCATTCCGTAGTGCCATTCCGAGCAACGCACTGCCGCAGCTTCTCTGAGCCTTTCCAGCAAGTCTGTTCAAGATTGGCTGTCAAGAATCATGGACTGTTATTATATGCCTTGTTTTCTGTCAGTGAGTAGACACCTCTTCCTTGCCCCCTCCCGGGATTCACTCTGCCCCCTCCTCCGATTGCCGTCTGTCCCTCCCGTCGGACCTTCCTTCCAGCATCCGCACTCCGCGCCCCGGCTGCGCTGTCGCTCCCTTCTAGGCCGCTCAGTCCAGGCGCTGGTAGCTTGCCGGGCGCTTTTAAAGTACTGCTGGCCCCAACTCGCCCCCTCAGATCCGGAGCGTTGCAGCAAAGGGGGACGCGAGGGAACTGAAGAGATGAAAGGTCCCCAGTCCAGTCCGGGGTTGTACCTTGAGGGCTGACCACTCCCTGCCCGGCACAACTGGCTTGGGGAGCGCCGGGTGTCCCCGTGGCGCGTTCCCAGCCTCTTGTCAAAACTCCCCGAGTTCGCTGCGGAGTCACCCCACCCCCGTCCTGGGAGCGAGTCAGCGGGCACGATCCTTTGCTGTCTTTTATGCTGGGCATTTCAAACTCATCAGCTCTCCAGCTCCCCGGGCAGACCCCAGACTCCTTCCCCAGCCGCTGCCCCTGCCCCCTGTCTTCGCCTTGGCCCTTCTCTGCTTTTCCTTCTTCCTGCTCCCGCACAGTTGGAAGTTGTGGAAGTTGGGTTCAGAGGGTGGAGAGAGGGAGGCGGGAGACGCTGGAGGTCCGAAGTGGAAAGCAGTGGCATTTTAATGCTCCTTCCCCCACCCCTTCCTAGCCCCTCAATGTTAACTGTTTATCCTTGAAGAAGCCACGCTGAGATCATGGCTCAGATACCAGTTGGGACAAAAAAAGATTAACAGGATGGAGGCTATCTGATTTGGGGTTATTTGACTGTAAACAAGTTAGACCAAGTAATTACAGGGCAATTCTTACTTTCAGGCCTTTCGCGGTTGCAGCTGCTGGTGGTGGTGGGGTGTGAGGGAGAAAACACAAACTTGATCTTTCTGACCTGCTTTACATCTTGACCCTCCGCCACCAGCCCTATATGCATATGCGGAGACATCTCTGTTTCTCTCTGTTTATTGGTGTTTATTTATTCTTTAACCTTCCACCTTCTCCCCCTTCCCAGAGACACCATGATTCCTGGTAACCGAATGCTGATGGTCGTTTTATTATGCCAAGTCCTGCTAGGAGGCTCGAGCCATGCTAGTTTGATACCTGAGACGGGGAAGAAAAAAGTCGCCGAGATTCAGGGCCACGCGGGAGGACGCCGCTCCGGGCAGAGCCATGAGCTCCTGCGGGACTTCGAGGCAACACTTCTGCAGATGTTCGGGCTGCGCCGCCGCCCGCAGCCCAGCAAGAGCGCCGTCATCCCGGATTACATGCGGGATCTGTACCGGCTGCAGTCTGGGGAGGAGGAGGAGGAAGAGCAGGTCCAAGGCACTGGTCTGCAGTACCCGGAGCGCCCTGCCAGCCGGGCCAACACCGTGAGGAGCTTCCACCATGAAGGTCAGTCCCTGCCCCCACTCGGGTGGGGGAGGGCGAGCGGGGCTGGCTGGAGGCCGAGGAAGCTCTGGGGAAGACAGTTCAGGTTACATCAAAGCCCCACTCCTGGAGGCTGAGGAACAGCCGCTTACCTCCAAGAATTTCCAGAGCTGCCACTGAACTTATTTTCTGGAGACAGAGGGGGAGGGGTCCCCGGGAAGGGGACCACACCACTCAGACAAGAGCTCGCTGGCCTCAGCGTTGTGTTTTTGCCATATCAAAGCCTTTTCTGCCGGGTTTTCGGCCCGTTTTTTTTTTTTTTTTTCAAAGCACCTACTGATTTAATATTACAGCTGCGTGTTTGTCAGGTCTATTCAATAGGGGCCTTGTAATCTGATCTGAATGTTTCCTAGCGGATGTTTCTTTTCCAAAGTAAATCTGAGTTATTAATCCACCAGCATCATTACTGTGTTGGAATTTATTTTCCCCTCTGTAACATGATCAACAAGGCATGCTCTGTGTTTCCAAGATCGCTGGGGAAATGTTTAGTAACATGCTCGAAAGTGGAAGAGGGAGAGAGGGGCCGAGTGCGTGTTCCCTCCTGCCTCTGCCCTGCCGGCCCCTCTTTTTCTTTACAACTCCTTGTAAAGAAAACTGTGTACACAAAGCCAAGAGGGGGTTTTAAAAGGGGAGTCCGGAGGTGGTGGAGTAAAGGAGTTGACACATGGAAATTATTAGACGCATAAAGGAGGTACGGAGATACTTTCTGCCTTTGGTGCTTGATAAATGCTAGCTGGGTTCTGCTAGGTCACTGGATGCCTTGCTTCCCTACTCCTTCCAATGAGAAAGTCCTCCTAATAGCCTTCCACCGTCTAAGCAGGATTCACCACTCATGTGCTTTTGCTTGTCCCTTTCCTTCCCAACTGTGCCCAGAACATCTGGAGAGCATCCCAGGGACCAGTGAGGACTGTGCTTTCCGTTTCCTCTTTAACCTCAGCAGCATCCCAGAGAACGAGGTGATCTCCTCCGCAGAGCTCAGGCTCTTCCGGGAACAGGTGGACCAGGGCCCTGACTGGGAGCAGGGCTTCCATCGCATAAACATTTATGAGGTCATGAAGCCCCCGGCGGAGGCGGTGGCCGGGCACCTCATCACACGACTACTGGACACGAGACTGGTCCACCACAATGTGACGCGGTGGGAAACTTTTGATGTGAGCCCTGCGGTCCTTCGCTGGACCCGGGAGAAGCAGCCCAACCACGGGCTGGCTGTGGAGGTGACTCACCTCCATCACACAAGGACCCACCAGGGCCAGCACGTCAGGATTAGCCGATCGTTACCTCAAGGGAGTGGGGATTGGGCCCAGCTCCGGCCCCTCCTGGTCACTTTTGGCCACGATGGCCGGGGCCATGCCTTAACCCGACGCCAGAGGGCCAAGCGCAGCCCTAAACATCATCCACAGCGGTCCAGGAAGAAGAATAAGAACTGCCGGCGCCACTCCCTCTACGTGGACTTCAGTGATGTGGGCTGGAATGACTGGATTGTGGCCCCACCAGGCTATCAGGCCTTCTACTGCCATGGGGACTGCCCCTTTCCACTGGCGGACCACCTCAACTCCACCAACCACGCCATCGTGCAGACCCTGGTCAACTCTGTCAACTCCAGTATCCCCAAGGCCTGTTGCGTACCCACCGAACTGAGCGCCATCTCCATGCTCTACCTGGATGAGTATGACAAGGTGGTACTGAAAAATTACCAGGAGATGGTAGTAGAGGGATGTGGGTGCCGCTGAGATCAGGCAGTCCTTGAGGACAGACAGACAGACACACACACACACATACACACAAACACACCTTCCCATCCACTCACCCATACACCACACAGACTGCTTCCTTATAGCTGGACTTTTATCTTTAAAAAAAGAGGAAAAAAAACCTAAACATTCACCTTGACCTTATTTATGACTTTACGTGCAAATGTTTTGACCATATTGATCATATATTTTGACAAAATATATTTATAACTACGTATTAAAAGAAAAATAAAATGAGTCATTATTTTAAAGGTAAACGATGGCCTTTTTTTCTCTTTAGTCTTTTCTGCCCTGTCCCTTTCAAATGAGCTTGTTTTCTGTGGAGGCGGGCTTAGGAGCAGAGGCGAAGCCTGAAGGTGGTGAGCAGAGGTGGTGGGGTTCTAGGACAGGAAGAAAACTTATGGCAGAGGGAGATGGTAATTGCCAGGGTGAATTGTTTTCCATTTCTAGTTAATGTTAACAAGGACGCAGCATCCTCTCCCATCTGGATGACACATGCCTTGGAGAATCAGGGATGAAAGGATTAGGTCACATGAAAGACTCAGTTTGGGGCTTCTAGAACATCTCTGTGTTGTTCACCTGTTAGAGCTGCATCCCAGCCCCAGTGCGCTGGGGGAGTCTCAGCTCCACAAAGTTGATTCCCACCTCTGCTTTTTATGATACCCCAGAGTGTCTCCACCTGTGACAGGGATGAATAATTCACACACACTAAACATGTGTATGTGTGGTTCCCCCTTCAAACAGGAGGGTTCTGTGTGTGTGTGTGTGTGTGTGTGTGTGCGCGCACATGAGTGTATGTTTCTATTTAGAAATAAGCTTTACCCAATTAAAAAAAATAGTGTACTTACCTTCCAAAAGTTTGGTGATGACTACTTTAATATACCACACAGTAGCATTCTACAATGTTTCTTGACATTTTTCCTTGGTTCTTATTTCCCACAGGAAGCTTCCATCGAGTTAAAAATCCCAACAGATTGAGCTAGGGTGCTAGGGAAGTTGGCAGTGGAGCCAGATACTGAAAAGTCAGAATTTTAAATGGGCGCTGTGCTTCCACCTGGATTCTCTGAAGTCAAACGTCAGTCTTCTGTTTGTGCTGCCTCCCCTTTGTACGATTCTCTGGACTTGCGCACAGCTACCCAGGAGGGTCTGATGTTTGGGCCAGGGTTTCTTCCAGGAGCAAGCTTAATTTTTGGCCCAGTAACAAAGGATCGTGCTGATGGGCTTGGGAGTGGGGGATCTCTCTGTCAAGGGCAGAGAGGTGTCATTCTGGAAGGGCATGGTGTAGAGGTTAAGAGGATCAGAGAAGTCTTTGGTTTTTCTTGCCACCAACAACTAAACAAGCCTTGATCCTCGGCCTGCTCTGGCTCTTCTGTGTGCTCCGCGGGAGTGGGTTGGGGGCCTGCAGCAGGCGGTGTCCTTGTGTCCTTTGGAGAGGACTGATAGACGTGCATTTCTGCATCCTGAAGTATAGATGGGAGTAGTGGCAGAGTTGCTGTTGCTGGTGTTGAACGTGTGGGAGGCACATGCCTGGCGTGTGTTTTTCCGTGTGTGATGTGTGTACATTCTTGTACACAGCTTTGCACATGCTTCTGGGGGTGGGGTGGGTGAAGCAGCATTCATTTTTGTTTTTAATTACTGAAGTCCTGCAATCCTCCAAAAGGAGCAGCTTAGTGGAAACCAATAAAAATAGAAGTGGGGTGGTTGCCAAAGCCCCAGCTCCCTGGAGAGCACAGGTGGACAGAGGAGATCAGAGCCCGAGGCTAAGGCAGCAAGACTCCACAGTTCCTCCCAAACTCCCTGCAAAGAGGGACCTTTTCCCCCCTCTCAGAGCCCCCCCAGGTTGCTGCCCCTTTGATTAATGGTATGGAGCTTGAATAAATCATTTAGGGAAAGCCCATTATGGGTTCCCCTCAGGCGGCCTCATTTTGTTTTGCCCGATTTCCAGCAACTCTCTGCAGCGCCTGTATCCCTGCAAAGGAGCCCGAGATCCCCAGCACTTGTGCCAATGATCCCGGGCAAGTCCTGAGCCGGTGGCTGTCCAGTTCAGGTCACTTTCTAGCAAGCACTCCCCGCCTCCTCCCCCCTCCTTCTACTGGCTTATTTTCAGGAATGGATAATGTTGTTTATTTGTTCAGCCAAATATTTGGTCTGGGGAATTTACCGTGAAATTCTGTGAATTGCATATACCTAGTTAACAAAATAGTCCTAATGCCACAAATGTTAGCATGAAAAACAAGGAGTGATGGCCTGCTTTAACTCTTTAAATTCTGTTTGAAACCTTAGTTCGGAAGCCCCGGGAAGATAAGGAATTGGAGATGAGTGGGGGGTACCTACGAGAGGGTTTGGCAGGTTAGATCCTTCCTGGGCCCAGTGCCTTACACAAGTTGTAGGGTGGTCCTTTCGGATCTAGCCTGCCATCTCCCCCTTTTATACTATTTTTTCCCCAGAGTAATGTTCCCATTACTCGAAGAAAGATGAGGAAAGAGAAACTCCCTTGAGGAGTTCAGCGAAGTCTTAACCACATCAGAGAAGCCTGGTGGGTGAATTCCCTGCCCAACCCTTAAAATGGAACCGGCTTCCTAGGCGCTAAAGACCAGGGAGGAAAAAAAGAGGGGGGACGCATCCAACATTCCCTGCTTTGGTTGCATAATGCGCCCAGAACCTGCCAGGTGACCTGCTGACTTTGTTTTCCATCTTGATCGCTCTCATTCCGCAACCCCCATCCCCCACCCCGCCGCCGTCCACAGCGCCGCCCTGTTAGGACTCCGCGCGCCCCGACGCTGGGCACCCCAATAATCCCTGGCCCGGAACTGGGCCCCCTGCGCCGCCTATTTCTAAAGGGGTCTCCGGGGGTGTCGAGGTGTCCTCCCCGCCGCGGGGATCGCCGGGGACGTGCTCCAGGCGGCGATGCCCTCCGACAGCAGTTTAGCCCGCCCCCGCACCCCCCGCGGTGGGCCGGTCCGGCCCATCTGCCCTCGGGGCCCCGGGCCCAGGTGAAGCCGTGCGCACAGCCGGATCTGATTAGAGCGCGCGAGTCCTCGGGCTGTTGCGCGGCAGATTGAACGCGAGGGGTCAAACCCGTGCGCAGGCGCGTGGAGCCGGGGGTGGGGTCCCCTCTGGGTGGAGGGGTGTGGAGATCTTCAGGGGATTTCCGTGCGAGGCAGAGAGCGGGAATGAGGGAGCAAGACAGTCTTGTCGCCGAGCTCACAGTGGCCCGCACACTGCAGTGACGAGTGGGGGTCGAGTGGGGATCCCCTGGCTGCAGGTCTGAGGTGCAGACGAGCCCTGCCTCAGCCTCCTCCAGGGACCTGCAGAGCGCTAGGGCCTGGCTCCCCAAAGGACAGGAGAGGCGCAGAAGGTGCGCCACAGCAACTGGCCCATTTCTTTCCGAAATGAGACGCCAAACCCACAGTGTGGACGGACAGCAGCACGCTCACCCCTCCAGGCCTCTGGCCCAGGGAACCCACAGGTGCCAGCCCTGCTTGAGGAGCCCCAGGCGAGGAGAGCAAAGCTTACGTGGGGATCCGGTTTTCCGTTTGTATTCAGTGATAACTTCTGCCTCCACACGGAGTAAATGTCACAAGCTTTCACACATTCTCTCTTCTCAGAAATGTTTAAATTTAATTGGATATTTTTCTTTCGAAGTGCTGAAGACTGAACCCAGGATCTAATATATATCCGCAAGACAAGTGCTGTGTCACTGAGATGCACCTCCCAGCCCTGCACATTCCTTAAAGAAAAAAGCCAACGCGACGTGGGTGACCTTACCTTACCTGGGACGGGTATTAGTATTCCCAAGAGGGGTTTGGGATAACTGGTGGATTCCCACGTTTAGAATCGATGCGCAGTGATTCAGGCTGTCTGTGATTCAGAAAATTGTAACCGGAAAAAAATTCTGAGCGGTTAGCAAGGCGGCTTAGGTGGACGGTGAGGAGGATGTTTCCCTACACATCTAAGATCTGATGTCCACACAGAACAGGTCAAAACTTCGATGCTCATAGGGGAGCAATGAATCTGGTTTTAGGAAAAACTTTGGATTGTGCTAAAGTTAATGCATACATATACTGCTTTTGAAAAAGAAGTCAAAAGTTCAAGTCAATTTTCGCAAAAATAAAGTGTTTTTTTAAAAAAAAAAAAAAAACTGGGGAAGATACTGGAAATTGCCATCTAGAAGTCTTTTCCCTTAAGGTGTTAACTGAAGCAAATTCCAGTTCTCTGCTTTGTCTTGCTTCAGCATTATGTTTTAAAACCCTGAATGAATACTGTATAGTATGCCATTCAGATCAAACAAGTCAAAAAATATACAATTATAGGGTTAAAAAATGTTTACCTGAAAAATATCTTCTGTGAGGAAAGGAAGACGGAACAGTAATTTGCTGAATTGTGTCATTGCTAGAATTTCTGAAGTGCAGCTTTCTGTCAGTTTTGCAACATTTTCTGAGATCTACCTCATTGATCCTCGCTTCACTTTTTCTGATATGATTTCTAGCAAAACTACTTTTAAACCCCCAACAAAGTCCATCTATCCCAAATCCTTGAACTCCATAGCCAAGGTGGAAGTAGATCCCAGTTTTGCATAGTTTCATTATAGTTTTAGCAACTTTAAAAAAAAAAAAAATTGGTTTTATTACCTGAAACCCTGGCCAGCAGATCATTCTGTAAAGAAAGGGTTGAAGGCACCTTGGTTTTAAACTATTTGACTTTCTCGTTTATTTCTGTCACTATTTCCCCCAGTGATAGCAGCACCTAACTCCACCTTGCGTATAGTCAAGAAAATGTACAGCTGTGTTCAACTCAAGTTACTGGTGATTTAATCTTCTAATCCTTGTCATTTGGGTTTCAAAGCAGTTTGTTTCTGAGGT